TTTTTGTTTCGCCATTTCAAAAAATCATCTTGCCAGTTATTGCCATTTCAGTATTCCTGCGATTAGGAACCACATGTGACTAAATCTGTGGTCCTTATAATGTTATTATCAAGTCAGTTTCAAACTGTAAAAATAAACATAAAATATGAAAAAAGACCGACTAACTAAATAAGCAAACAAATAAAAAGTGGGAAAACGTTCAGATTTTATAGATATCTTAAAGATCACGCAAGAGGTCTCTTTTAAGCTTCAATATGAGTTATCAATAGAGATTATAGATAGGTATGATCCAAGTGGAACAATATTTATTAGGATGTTAGATGCATTTAGACTAACGTGGAAACGTTACATATCTTTTGTGTACTTAAAAAGTGAAAAATGTATAATGTGAATCTTAAAAAAATGTATATTGTTTTTAATTAGATATGTAAAAAATTAAACGAAATTTTATTTTAATCAATCAGATTAATGGGGAAAGAAAGTAAAATTATTAAGACCTGCATCTATTGCTTTTATATAGTTTAGTTCGTTAATTAAAAACATACAGATTAAATAAGAAATAATAATATCTTTCGTTAGTCCGTTTTTCTGAATGGCGATACACTCGAGTGAAGAGTGAAATAATGCAGTAAAGTGAAACAACTCAAAATCGTGTTTCGAGACTTATAGCCCTTTTGGCTTAATAATTAAAAATATAAATATACATTGCAATCGGAAATTCTGGACGTCGAATCCCGACGAGAGCAATGCATATTTTTACGTCTCCTGCACTAAAATAAAATGCCTAATTTTCTCTGCAAATAGTTAGCACTTAATATAATGGCACCTGAAACATCTTATTATGATTTAAGCAATATTTACATTGCTTAAATAATATTCAAATATACAGCTTTGTATTAATATCTAATTTTAAAAATGATTTTAAATATTAATTGAAGATATGATACTGAGATTTTTTAGTAAAGGATGATGACAGCGATTTCGCATTAGCTACAACATAACCTGTTCTTTATTTAATGACTCTGAAAAGTAGTTTACATTATGCAAAATTTAATAACAATTGCAATTTTTCAGTATGCAGTTATCGCCAGGTAATGCATTCAGTTATTCATTGAAAAATTGTTGCTTTGTGAAAATATCTCAGAAAAAAGTAACGCTAGTTAGTTTCTAATTAATTTAAGTTCTAATATGATCATTTAAATCACATACACATGATAAGCATGCGGTCTCAGAAATTTCAGAGTTTGTAATGCTAATTTCGTTTTTAGCATATCAAAACTCCAGTTATCAGGATTCTAGAAATACGAAATCAAATTAGTTGCTTCAACAGTTCTTCTTCTGATGAGAAAATAAACTGAGCTTGCTGTTAAAATGTTTACGCGTTTACAAATTTTGTACTTATAAATAATGTAAATGTATAAGGTCTCCGACAAGTGATGATCGGATTTCAGGTTTCTAAAGTAGGGATTAGGTAAACTGGACTGAAAGTGCTTTAATTTAATTCATTCGCTCAAAACGATCAATAACAAAATGAAAATATTTCCGTATGTACAAGATGGACAGCGAGATAAATGTCACGGCGACATTCGGTTTGGGTATGTAACCCTGGAAAGTACATCTATAGTTGAACACTTGATATTGTTATGAAATTCCTTGAAGTGATCAAAATTATCAATTTTTAATTGCAAATGTTGTGTAGCGTATTTAATATAATTAAGTGATTCATAAAAATCAAAATTTTAATTTGTAATTAGTCAAAATTTGAGCTACACAGCAAGTTTGGTTATATTCTTTTATTTGGCTTATTAATTCTAGTGTAATCTATTTCGGCTATTCGAGTTTCCGCGAACTGCGTCTTCAAACTTGTACACTCAGACAATGGATATAGGTGAATTTTCATGTAATAAACTCAGTTTTTCATGATAAAAATTAAGTCAAACTCTTAGTATTTAATATCATTAGTTGCAGAAAAATTAGCTCCTTAATTTGAGACTACTTTCTTAATCCTAGCTTTAATCAATTTTTAGTTATGGCCTCTTAATTATTAAAACTTCCTAAATTTTTCTTCTAACAAAAAAGGGGGGGAGGAAGAGTTTCGAAAGTTCACTTTCAACGAAAAAATGTGCGTTCTTTGGACTTGGAAAAGCCATTTCCTGTCAGGGTTGCCACGTTTTACAAGCGCAGGTGTTTAGGCGTGGCCTCATCTTGGCGCGATTTCTGACGAGTTTGGAGATCCGTTAAAAATTCAAACTGGTTGAGTTTGGTAAAATTTTGCATTGCTTAAGGCAGAAGTTTTTGGTAACGGGTTTTTTTCACCTTTTCGGGCGGGGGTTTAGCCAAGCTGGCTGCCCCGTCTTGTCTAAAAGGGGTTGTTTTTCGCTTCGCTTCTCTGCTCACCCCTGACACCAGCTCATGGAGTTGCTGTTTTTGTTTATTACGCAGTTTTTGGACGATGAGCGTCTCTTTCCTTTCTCGGAGCCTTTGGGCCCGGGGCAATTTAATGCGTCGATTCTCATGTCTACGGTAAAAGTACTTTTAGTCAAATTAAAAAAAGGGGAAGAAAAAGAGAACGACATCTTGAAAGAGTAAATGACATTGTGAAAAGGAAATAATAGTCCTATTGCATTCGCCTGATCCAGTTCACCTCAATGGAAACGTCAGTTATGAAATTTATGGAACCAGATTACCAGTTTTTTTAAATTGCCTCTCTTCCGTTCTGAATCCTGATGGACAGTCAAATTGCATTCGTCTGATCCAGTTCACTTCAATGGACCTCAGTTATGAAATTTTTGGAACCAAATTACCAGTTTTTATTGCCTTTCTTCCGTTTTGACCAATTACAGTTTGCATTCGCCTGAAGTTCATTCAACGGAACCTCTTATGAAATTTATGGAACTTCCGTTTTAAATTGCTCTCTTCCGTTCTGAATCCTGATGGACAGTCAACGGTATCCACTGGCCTGAATTAGCTGTTACATGTTCCTGCCAGGAGACCTCGGTCTTGGAACCTCAGTTGGGTGATATTAAATTTTTCTTGTTATTTCTTTAAATTCAGATATTTCTTAATCTTAAAATCTGCAAGATCTCGCGGAGTTGTTATAGGTGAGAGTGAGGTTAATTGTTAAAATAAAATTTAAAAAAAAGGTTGCTCTTCCAATTAAATTAGAAAAAAAATGAGTTATGCATAAAGTGATTTTTTTTTTTGTTTGGAATTATTGAATGTTTAATATAAGCATTTAGAAGTTTTCCTAAAAAAAAAAAAAAAAAAAAAAAAAAAAAAAAAAGAGAAGAAAAAGAGAAGAAAAACGAATTCGGTTCGTTATCATTATCTTTATTATTAGAGTTATCTGAAAAGAAATATTACAAAGTTCTAAAAGCTCATTCTTAAAGAAATTACCTTGTTTTATTGTCACTATTATTATTATTTGAAGAACCGTAAAAGTAAACTGAATTATTCAGCTAAAGTTAATAGTTAAGGTTCAGAATGTGAAAAGTTATATCTTGTAGTTCTGCAGTAAAGGAGTGTTCTCTGAAACCTAAATTAGTGCTAATAGTCTGTACATTAAGTCATTACTCTAGTATAAATTCTGTGGAATATAATTCCTCCTGGAAATTTTTGTTTAAAGGTTGCTCTCCTTTTGGAAAACTGATTTTTATGTGTGTGCAATAAGGGTGTAAATTACAATTATATCTGAAAAATTTTGAAAATTGTTCTATAGAAAACCTGTTAAGCAAAAAGTCTAGAAATATGTTACAACTTAATAGAATTAATAATGGCATTAAATTTTGATGTGCAATATTGAGAGATAAGTCTATTAAAAAAAAGTAAAGCCTTTTTGTATTAAGGATGAAATTTTAGAGATTATCTTATGTTGAATATTTTTTTTTTGATATATCCCGGGAATATCTTTAATAACTATAATATCTATTTTATTTTTTTATATTGATTCTATCATATGATATTTTAAATTGAAGGATATTTTTTTCCAATAAACAAATTTGTTTTCATTGAAATAATTAAGTGTATTTTTTTTTTTTTTTTACTTACTCATGTCATTTCACCAGGTCACCAAAAATGAATTAAGGGTTAATCCGATTACACAACGCAATGCTAAGTAAGTGTTTTGGCTTATTGAGATTAATATATATAACTGTTGCTAGAAAATTTAAGTGTTAGTGTCAACTGAGTAGGAAGCCTTTCAAGTACCTTACTTATCGAACGACACAACACAAACATTATTGCTGACCATGTTTATAACTCCAATTCTCACAGTCCACCGTTCTGGAAATGGATAAGTGAAAACACGTTATTCGTAAAAATTAGTAGTAGTCGGTCTTATTGAAATAAATCAGTTTTTCGTTTACTCGATTTGAGAAATCAAAAAGGCCTATAGCATTTGCAAGTATGTAATGGAAATCATATTACTTAAAACAAGCAATCAAGGGCTGTAAATCTTCATACTCATTACTCTGCCCTACATACTAAATACAGAAAAGTCTGAAATGTTTCCATAAGATAAGGCACTTGGAAATAATCGTTTTAAGTGAAAGAATTTGATAAAGGCACTTTTACTATCTAATTTCGCAGACAACATACTTCAATATCTTATCACGAAGTTTTACCATTTGTTCTCGAAACTTGTATGCAATAGATTAAATTTTAAAAAAGATTGCATATCTAATTTGAAAGCGTGAATGAATAAAATAATTAATTTTATTCTTCAATTAAAAAAATTAATTATGCAGTTCTTGTACAGGAATATGTAATTTTAACTTTGGAAACGAAGACCATAATTATCCGTACTTTCCTAATATTCAGATGAAATAAGTTTCCAGACAGTCCAGACACATAAAGTCTTGCTGTGCATCCAAGCATTTATAACAGTTGTTAATAAGACAGGTTCATGCAAACTCACACATACACCGACACATACGTACACATACACATAAGAAAGAGTGACAGATAGACAGGAAAAACATCGATGTTCAAACGAACCGTACAATGGACGTGGACCGTTATGTGCTTGTCCTTTATTTGAGAGTTGTGCTTTGTCACGACGAAAGCTCGGCAAGTGTAGTTCCCAGCATCAGAAGGTTTCATATTCCGTATGTACAGTCCATCTTCTGTAATTGTGCGACGAGGACCTGAGGAACAAAAATGGTAAACCAAAAATTAGTTTTGTGATTTTTTTTTGAAAACATTTTATTTAAAAAGCAAAGAAAATATTTTTCTGCAAGTGCGAGATGTAATGAGTCTGCAGTGCATTTAGAAAACATAGTTCCAGTTACTGTTCTCTTAAACAATGATTTAAAAAATGTTTCTAATAACACTCTTTTTCAAAAAAAAATCGAAGCACCAAAGAAGGACTTTTGCGATCGTGACGAAATTTGGTATGCAAAAACATCTTGATAGAACATGCAAATGATTAAAGTTTCAAGCCAACTGAACAGGAAATTGCGATCATAGCGCGCATTTCTAGTGCGCAATTCACAAAATATAAAACCAGTAACAGAGGTGGAAAATTTATCTTTTTTTGTTGCTGTCATCTTAATTCCGTAAATAAGCAACTGAAGATGCAATTACAATGATATCGAACACCTTACAAATAACTAAACGACTTCGAACGTGATCGCATTGTAGGGTTGCGAGAAGCTGGGTGGTTTTACCAATCAATTGGCCTCTACCTGCAGCGTACAGACACTGTTGTGCAAAGAAGGTAGCAACAATGGCTGCTACAAGGAAACTGCGGACGAAATGAAGGCACTAGAAGGCCAAGGAGCACAAATGAGAGGCAAGATAGAATGATTGTTCACCTTGCCCGAACCGCCCCAACGGTATAATTGTCGAATATTCAACTCACTACAGCCACGTCTATACTTCCCGTGGTACCGTCCACTATTTCACGGCGCTTATCTGAAGAGGGATTACGCTCACATAGGCCTTTAAGATATTCGTCGTTGACCCCATAATATCGGCGGAGTCGTCTGGAGTGGTGTCGCAGCCAATCATCATGGCTGCCATCAGACTGGCATCGTATAGTGTTCAGCGATGAATTCCGCTTCACAATTGAAGCAAATGACTGCCGTGTCTGGAGAAGACGGGGCAAGCGGTTCCAATCAGCCTTTGTTTTACAAAGGCATACAGCCATAACCCCTGGTGTGATGGTATGAAGCGCTATTTCTTATGACAGCAGATCATTTTTAGTCTTCCTCCGTACGTCTTTACCAGCTCAACGATATGTGTTCCTGAAGCCGGTTTGCATTACCCTTCATGTCACATCATCCTGAGACCTTTCTTAAACAAGATAATGCCAGGCCACATACCGCTCGCTTATCTCTAGACTGCCTCTGTTAGGTTGATACTATTCCTTAGCCAGGGAGGTCAACAGACCTTTCACCAATCAAGCATATCTGGGGCTTGGCAGGCCGCCAGATTCGGGCACCACAAAATATCGCAAATCTGGAGCGACAACTGATGAATGCCTTGGAAAATGTGTCGCAGGATGACATTAGGAACCTCTAATACTCATTGCCTCGACAAATTGAAGCATATGACCTTGATTTTTTAATCATTTTATTTTCTGTGTATGGGCTATACACATATTCAATTTCATTAAAAAAAATCCTTCATGGTATTTCGATTTTTTTTGGCAAAAGAGTGTATATTTTACCGTGAAAGTCCGAGACTGGAGAATGTCGACTTTCACCAGAGAATGTCAAAATTCACCAAATACGTCCGTGAAAGATCGAATATTGCATAACATTCTTGTACATTCGGACCTCACCGGTGTATGTCGACAATTACAGATATGCTCTGATGTAGGTCGAAAAGAGAGGAGTATATGTACACACTGTCATTGCAAAAGAAAGTGTTCCACAAATAAATACATGTGTAAAAGAAAGGGCCTCTTGTGCAATTCAAAGTGTCATAATAGTTTAAGTTGTTGCAATAAATAAGATTTGAATCACATAATTTAGTAAACTTCTATTATTTTCCTTTCTCATTTTGAATGTACTGTGTGTTTTAAGTTCTTATATTCTTAAGTTCTTGTTTTAAGTTTCAAGTGCGTTTTTTCGCAACCGAATTACGGACAAGAAAATATAATATTCTTATATGTTCAACACCCGCATTAATACCTGGTGAATGTCGACATTTACCGGTGTAAATCAGAAATGAGAGTATTTGGAAAATATTTCGGGCATGCACTAAGCGACTATGTAAATGTTGACATTCACCGGTGAAAGTTGACATTCTGCAGATTTGTTTCACCGTAACATATACACTCAGAAGCTAAAATATTTTTTGGGACCAACTCTATAATCTGGAGCAGCATATTGCTTTTCTATATTACTCTTAATACTGAAAAGAATGTTTACCATTTCGGCTAGCGTGGAAATGAAATATTGCTTTTCTATATTACTCTTAATACTGAAAAGAATGTTTACCATTTCGGCTAGCGTGGAAATGAAATATTGCTTTTCTATATTACTCTTAATACTGAAAAGAATGTTTACCATTTCGGCTAGCGTGGAAATGAAATATTGCTTTTCTATATTACTCTTAATACTGAAAAGAATGTTTACCATTTCGGCTAGCGTGGAAATGAAATATTGCTTTTCTATATTACTCTACTCTTAATACTGAAAAGAATGTTTACCATTTCGGCTAGCGTGGAAATGAAATATTGCTTTTCTATATTACTCTTAATACTGAAAAGAATGTTTACCATTTCGGCTAGCGTGGAAATGAAATATTGCTTTTCTATATTACTCTTAATACTGAAAAGAAATGTTTACCATTTCGGCTAGCGTGGAAATGAAATATTGCTTTTAGCGTGGAAATGAAATATTGCTATATTACTCTTAATACTGAAAAGAATGTTTACCATACCATTTTCGAAAAGAATGTTTACTAGCGTGGAAATGAAATATTGCTTTTCTATATTACTCTTAATACTGAAAAGAATGTTTACCATTTCGGCTAGCGTGGAAATGAAATATTGCTTTCGGCTAGCTATATTACTCTTAATACTGAAAAGAATGTTTACCATTTCGGCTAGCGTGGAAATGAAATATTGCTTTTCTATATTACTCTTAATACTGAAAAGAATGTTTACCATTTCGGCTAGCGTGGAAATGAAATATTGCTTTTCTATATTACTCTTAATACTGAAAAGAATGTTTACCATTTCGGCTAGCGTGGAAATGAAATATTGCTTTTCTATATTACTCTTAATACTGAAAAGAATGTTTACCATTTCGGCTAGCGTGGAAATGAAATATTGCTTTTCTATATTACTCTTAATACTGAAAAGAATGTTTACCATTTCGGCTAGCGTGGAAATGAAATATTGCTTTTCTATATTACTCTTAATACTGAAAAGAAATGTTTACCATTTCGGCTAGCGTGGAAATGAAATGAAATATTGCTTTTCTATATTACTCTTAATACTGAAAAGAATGTTTACCATTTCGGCTAGCGTGGAAATGAAATATTGCTTTTCTATATTACTCTTAATACTGAAAATGAATGTTTACCATTTCGGCTAGCGGATGAAATATTGCGTGGAAATGAAATATTGCTTTTCTATATTACTCTTAATACTGAAAAGAATGTAGCGTTGAATATTGCCATTTCGGCTTTCGGCTAGCGTGGAAATGAAATATTGCTTTTAGCTAAATATTACTCTAGCGTAAATACTGAAAAGAATGTTTACCATTTCGGCTAGCGTGGAAATGAAATATTGCTTTTCTATATTACTCTTAATACTGAAAAGAATGTTTACCATTTCGGCTAGCGTGGAAATGAAAATGTAATATGTGAAAACATAATTCCAAAAAATGCTTTGGACAACAAGGACAGTTCTGGTTGAAAACTGCTGATCATTGGAACAAGTAAGCGGTGGTTTTCACAAATCATCCTCAGCAACAAAACGGCAATAGCAGAATCAAAATTCCGTTCCGACACTATTTCAGTATATCACTAAATGCATGTAAAAGTACAACACGACGATTTTGCAGTAGATGGATTTTAAAAGTAGGAAATCATTAAAAGCCTGTGTTATAACTATAAGAAACTGTTACTTAGGTCTCGAAACATAAAAATTGGATCCTTGTTTCCGGATAATATTTGTTTAGCCCAACAAAAATCATTTTCTGCTCTGCTATGAAAATGACTGAGTCAGGTAAAGTGTAGGCGAAGCGCATTCATGGTGTCTGATGACAATGAAACCAAAAGACCAAAATGCACCAAAAGACGCACTTCCGAACGCTTATTTCAACTGTTCTGCCACTTTTCCATGACCTAGCATTTTAAAGCTACGCAATAGTGGAAGTTGTGTGGGTAAGGTTACCATTTTTCAGTACGAAAATATAAATTGTGCTGTTTCATTGTCGGAAACGTCAGTATGTGCATGTACTCAGTGAAGCTTCAGCTTAATGTCCTTCGATCAATAAAGACGTAGTTTCTGAATATCCTTCTATATTTGCATTTTGCCACGTTGTCCTTGCGTAGATATATATTATACGTAGATAGGAGGCTGAGTCGCTATTCTGTTAGGGGTTACTTTGTTTTAGCAAAATTATACTTATCTTCTGAGAACAAACTCCTCTGCCTGAAAGTCGCTTCGTGACCAGGTGGACAGTTCTATTTCCGATATGGTACTAGTTAAATCGCTAATAATATACTCTTCTTGACAAAGCTGATCTGAAGTGACAGATCGACACAAACGTACCTAAGTCAAATTACTACCCTAGATGCAATTCATTAAAAAATTACCTCTGCTTTCAGTTCAAAACGTGTTTAATGTTTCGTGCGAAATAATACTCTCCGTTTGGGAACACAATATGTCAAAATATGTTGTTTTTTTCCCAACATTAACTCTAGTTCAATACACTATTTATTATTCTGTAAGCGTCTAACATACTCTTACGTTGGCACCGTATCATATAATTTTGGAATAAATAAAAAATATTAAACTTAATTTTCTTAATTAATAAATATAAAACAAAGTATTAAACATAATTTTGGGGCTTTCTATTGCTACTTGAGGTAAACTGTAAATGGAAATGTAGCTTACAGTGAATACAGAGGTATTATTCCACGTGGAACTTCAAAATTTTAATTTTAACTGAGTATTGGGACTTAATGCACAACAACACTCCATCTGAGGTTTATTTGTACCAATGTTTCTTCTTGTTCTTCATTCATAAAATATGTTTAGAGTTCCTCTGAACTTTTCTTATCTCAGGACTAACAACTAGCTAGACAAATACGTTGGATGAATAATCAAGAGTAGTGAATCTATTTCTCAAGCTTTGAGCATTTGAGCAGTGTTGATAAAAAAAGACGTTGCCTGGCTCCACTATAATTTTTATCAAGGTTAAACCTTAAGTATTACTCAATTCTATGGTCACTTGTTCTATTCTATTGGTAAGTGAAAGAAAAGACCATTGTCTAAGGATCAGGAAATTTTATGCACATCGTCTTCGTGTTGGCTAAAGCAGATAGTCTATCCCAAGTAGCACATGACGTAGCAAAGACGTTGCAGACTGGTTCGAGAGGTTGCAAAGTGGTCGTAGTAACGTCGTTGCTACGTCATGTGCTACGTGGGTATAGTATGGTGTAGCCCAGACGTAAAGAAGCATCCAAATCCCGATTATGCCGAATCCCTTGTATGGAATTAGGACTTTTGTTTCCTTTATTTGATCAAAACAGAAACTAATATCATACTTGTATAACACCCGGTATCCCAACATACCATGTCACCTTCATGAAGATCGTTAGTCTCATATTACAAACTCTTATCCTTTCATTTTATGCTGGAAATTTGTATATTGGCAGACCTGTATATCTTCTCAACACGCGCAACTTTGAAAGCATCCCTGCGCAAACTTTGCCATTCCGAGCAAATATTCAAACAGAATGATGTTCTACTAAAATGATATTTTCTTTTCTAGTCCTTTTCGTTTGCAACCAACACATCACTATAACGAATGCCAAGGTTACAGCGCATTCACAGCGAAGGCTAAATATTTAAAAAATTAAACTTTCTGCCAAGAAGACTCCTTTGTTAGAGATATAATAAGCGTATTCGTTCATTTTTATCACTATTGTTTACGACCGTGCTTTAAAACTGCTATGTTTTTGAACCGCTTTATTTTAAACGAAGATGTTTTATATCACGATATTTTAGACCTGCGATTTTTTTTAATTTCTTTCTTTTCTCCCACGATGTTTTGATCGGAGACGTTTTTTCCTTGCTTTCGTTTTCGTCCACGGTGATTTTGGCCCATTATTTTCGCCTGTAACCTCGCTCAGTTGTGATAGGCTATAAAACGTGGGTAATGAAATTCAATGTGATAGCAGTCAGTAATGAGAATGGTCGTCATTCGTGGCTGCACAGCACCATTCACTGAATTTCTGTCGATAGCAAGTAATTTTTATTGATATGGCAATAACGTCAGCTACCTAAGTACACCTGTGACGTTTCAAGCAAATGTCACGCAAACGTGACATTTCAAACAAATTTCAATGTCATAAGCAAAATCGTAAACAATTAGAGAACATGTTTGCCATTTATGCAGGAAAGAGCAGTTGAAAATACGTTCATCGTAAAGGGTTGATCGCAGCAGGTGGTGGAAAGGACCCGTGCAGATAAAGTTCATTCTTCATTAATGTAACATTTTGGAGCACTTAACTCCCTTGCATTGGGGGAATAATATTGTTTCTTAAAAGCGTTGCACAGTCCTCTACTGTATATTCCATTGTAAACAGTTTAAAATGCATCGCTGTGGATTGTTCCAAGTAAAAATGGCTTATAATAAATTAAGCAGTGACCCCGCCAAATTGTGATCATTGGTTATTCAAAAGCATTTCCAAAATTCCGTCTGGTTTCTCTCTCGTACAAATGTGGCAATTGTGCGCATTTAGCCTTCCATTAAAATAACGATGTGCCTTGTAGTCCATAAGACATTTGACTGGCAGTCGTACTATTTTCCATCTGTTGAAAAATCCAGTTTGACAATTGATGATGCCTCTTTAAATCGGTTGCTTTCAGATCATGTGCGTGTTGGATTTTTTAAATAGTTCCGTACGAAATGGCCAGCTGTTCTATATTGTTACAGCATTACTTGTCGGGGGAAAAATAACTATCCTGGCAATACAAATTTTCGTTATATAGTTTGATTTAATTCGTTTTATTTGGTTTTGACAGTGTAGGTGAGTGCTATTTGTCTGAGGAATTAAATGCTTTCATGAAAGTCCTTTCTAAGGGAAAATGACTTGTATGCATGTTATAAATGGTAAAAGCCACGAAAATACCCATATAGAAAACCCGTTCATCTGGAATCGAACCTAAGCGATCTTATGTTCTTGTGAGAGTTCTCATTCTATAGAAATTTCATGTATTTTTTGGGAATTTCTGCGAAACCCTTCTCATTCTAGAGTCTATACTTTTTGAATTACTGATTTTTTTTTCACTTCTTGTTATTTTTTAGGTCACCAGTTATTAGTTAATTTGTGATAAATGTTTTTTTATAAATTTTAGAACTAAATGAATATCAAAGAAACGCTTTAACCACAATGATAAGAATCTGTACTCACCATCCACAATAAGACTCCCGTTCACATACCAAGAAATAATGGGTAGAGGATCTGCACGTACCCCACAAATGATCATGTGGTCACTGCTTTCTCTCCCAGTCTGATCATCAGGTGTATTCATGAAGGTAATTGAGACTGCAAAAAAAAATATACACATGATAAGTAAAATACGATTACCATTATCAAAGCCTAATTTATAGCTACATTGGAGATGCTAAAAAGTAGGCAATATTTTAGCATCTGCAATGTTAGCACAGAATTCTACTTTTCCCTCAAAAAACAAAGAACACGGGCCCTGGATTTCAAACATCTTCGAAAAAGGGCTTAGCCTAGGGCTCTGGCAATAATTTAAGATTTCAGAGATATTTTCCAGAAATATAAGTTTTTTTTTTTTTTTTTTTTTAAATTTTTTTTTTATTTATCAATCAAAATGATACTTCATACTGTATTCCAGAATTTTACATTATAACGATAGTATTCCAGATGTTTTTCAAATATTAGGTATACTTATGAGTGTAAACTTTAATCTATTTTAATTTATTTAAATTACTCCTTTTTATGACAATTTAATTTTTTCTATATTCTGTATTAGATGTAGCAAAGATACCAAACTTGTGATGAGACAGGTATGTTTTACCCCAAATTTCGTGTCATTTCTTTTTCGTTTCTTACCATTTGGTTTTCTTGATATTATGCTTGGTGTGCTTAATTATAGAGAGACAGGTCTTAGTTTTTCTTTGTTAATTACATGGATAACCTTCAAATCAACAGAATTGCACGATACCTTAAGAGACAATACTTCCTTGATTAAACTTCGAGTACGCAGACATTTGTTTAATTCATAGCGAACGGGAAAAATGCTAAATCAAGGAGTTAAATTTCAGTGACCTACATATACGGTAAGAAAAATCAAACATGATATAAACAATAAAACTGCATCTTTTATAAAAAAAAAGTCATCTATGGTATCATATTTAATAGAATAAGGTTACATCCCTATAAAATTCCAATATCAGAAAAAGGAGTATAGAATTATTCACGCAGTTAACATGGTACGAAAACACCCATGATAATGAACAGGCTTGACAGTGAACACAGGACGTGACAATGAACAATACAGGATTTGGCAATGAACACAGAAATTGACAATGAATAAAACAGAGCTTGCCAAATGAATTTGAATTTCTTTAATATATGCTTCGATTCTATTGTATGCAAAATATTGCTTAACTGCTATCTACAGCTGCCAATTTTAGTACCCCAATAATGACACAAGAACGCATTCGAAATTTTATTTCACTAAATGTGTGGCACAGCCTAATAAATAATATTTTTGGTCTTTTCTGTTTATTAAAAATAATATCAACTTTCAGTGTGAACTTGTATCAACAAGATAGAACTGCCTCGCAACTTGCGAATCATGTGCGAGATATGTTCAGTTGTTGAAATCAGGATATTTAATTGACAGAAATGGACATGTCCCATAGCCCGGAAGATGTCTTGATCTTACCCCACATCATTTCTTCTTGGCTTTTTGAAAAATGAAGTTTATGGTGATAACTTGACTATTTCAAACACATAATCACGCGAGAAATTTTCAACATTGTACAATGTTCTTGCCAGAGTATGGACCAAATTCAAAATTTCGCAGAATTTTGTAGAATGCAATGCAAAGATTGGAGATAAATAATTGTTTTAATTAATGTTTGTTTAAGCTTTTAAATTGGGGACATTCACAATTAATATGTATATGATACTTATATAAACCATGTGTATAATACACTATCATGTATATTATACACATGCATGCACACTATATATATCAAAACACGTATAATATACACTATAATACATACTATATATGCCTTAATAGAAAATGCACTTTATATTCAATTCTGAGCAAACAGTATAGACGCTATTTTTTCCTCATTCTCCGTTGCAGACCTTTATGTTTTGAACCGAAGCTGATTATCCTTATTACGTTTGTCATGCTGTTAATAGTTCACATGACGAAACATATTAATTGTGTTTGATATTTTTTGAGTGACTAAATCAAGAAAAAGTACTTTAGGAAAGTTTCGTATACTATATATTTGAAAACAATTTCAGGAACTTTTATCATTCTTTCTTGAAGACCATGTTTATGATTACCGATTTACTAAATTAATGATAACTATTTAATCAAACAATAATAAACTGGTGAAACATTTCAACGGAGTAATAAGCACAAACAAGGAAAAAATATCTCTAAATGTAATTATTTAAGGAAGTTTAGTCCAGTATTAAGAAAGCATTGCCGTTACAGCGGCAAGCAAAGTAGAATTTGTAATGCTTGGTGGAAAGAAAAGTTGTCTTTATTCTTTCGATTAGTCAGTACAATCTCTTCTCGTTCACCGCCGTAATAACAATGATTTGATTGCGTAGGATAGCCTCTAGGTTCGAATGAACCTAGAGTCAAAGATATATTTTTGCTGATTATTACAATGAAGTTGCTCATTTAATTGCCATTAAATTATTCAAATTTGTTTTCCTCAAGTAAACTTTGAACATGTTTCAAAAATTTAAAACAAGTACTATTTAGCATCATGCTTTCATTATATTAAATTATGTTCCTATATATACCTAAAAGTAAGTATTTGAATTAACATAACTCGCCGAATCACAAACATTAAAGGAATTAAATCGACAAGAATAAACGTAGTATTCAGAAATTTTGCAGGTTTCGAAGGTTTAAATATAGAATATTTCCAGCTGTTGAAGTGCAAATAACGAAAGAGAAGCCAGCGGTAAGATACGATAAAGTTATAGCATTAAGAGGAAGGAAGTAAAGCTACTGGCGCCGTATACTGACAGAAATTTAAAACAGCTGTGCAATAATTTCCGTAAAAGATGAGGATAAAGACAAATTGGAATTGAGAATGTTAACTTGAACTGAAAGAAAATTATTATGGGAAACACATCTAGAAAATCTAATTCGCTAACGGAAGATGTTTTCTGAATAATTTGGCTACAGAACAATGTTAAACACGATTTTCTGATCAACAGTGTTAAGCAATAGAGGATTTATATTTGTTTTTCTCTAATATATGCTTCATGCTCTTTAGCGCGAAATTTCAAGACTGTCTTTGGTTAACTAATGTAAATTAAGCCACACTGGTAAGGAAACTTGTATGTATCTCAGAATTTCATATCCTAAAAGGCGTCTTTATTTATAAAATGCTGCTTGTTATGGCTTTAATTCCTCCACTAATTGTATATAGTAATTTAAGAAAGTAAGTAAAATATAGTAATTTTAACAAAAATATTATTTAAGACAATGCAGTAACTATAGTATACTATTTAAAATATGTAATGTATAAAGTAATTTTCATAAAAATAGGACTTAACATCGTGCTTTCATTATGTTATTTTATACTCCTATCTACCGTATATACTTTTAATGCAAAAATGATACCCAAATTTAAGGGCTTGCGTTATACGGATTGGATTGGATTATTCAATTACGGCAAATCATACGAGGGCTATCTGCCTAAAGGGAGGGATGCCTTTGTGGAGGACTTTCTAAGGGAAACTCTCTCGTATACACTATACACATGGGGAAAACCACGAAAACGCCCATGCAGCCAGCCCGTTCTCGGGATTCGAACCTCGGACCGAACTACCAGTGTTCAGCGTCTTTACCGCTCGGCCGCTGGTGGGTTGACATAGAAATGATTGATATAAAAATAAATAAAAGATTAGCATAGAACATTTAGTTTTCTACATGTACCTAAAAGCTGTTTATTTAAAAGAAAAGACATACTTTATGAACTTAAAAATTTTAGTTATCGGATAACATGAAAAATTCTTCCTATTCGTCTTCTGTTATATCTTCAGGTACATTATCGAATTCTGTTTCATCTTCACCATCACTGTTACTCTGATCAATAAATAAGTTATTAACTTCCATTCCATCTATTTTGTTAGATTTACTACATCTTTTAAAAGACTTTTAAATTTTTTGGAGTTTAATTCCATTCTATGCAAATATTACCCATTCACACGCAATTTATAGATTGGCATGAAACCTTAGGTCTCCTTTTGTTAATGCTTGTTCACTTCTAACATCCACGAGTTCCACTGGAGTTTTAAATTTTCTCTGAATTGTTTATTGATGCATACATCTAATAGCTGAGCTGTTCCGTTAATCCGCCAATAATAACTGCAATATCTGTATTATAATCATTTAGACAATTTCTCTGTATTATCCATAACAAATATATCTCAAAGTGATCTGTATATGTCTCAAACTAAAATACGTTTTGGATTTCTTAATGCAAAAGGAAGCTTTTGCCAAATATTTCTTATCCACAGTTTCACACCATTTTCCTCCTTCCATCTTTTCTCATGAACATAAATGAAAGCATCATTTGAGAAATTATATTTCAGTATCGTCATTCTTTTAAAAATAACCTTGGTGCTTTATTTTGTAACGGCCGCTGAGGAGGAAAGTATATGGTGAGGTGAGAGTTTTCGTGACCTGTGATTTTTAAATGAATTGTTTTTGTTCCTTTCACATTATTGCATTATTTCCTAACATATGAAACATTACAAGAACTTCATTGATATTTCCAATGTGTTACAGTAAATTATTTGTTTGCTAACGAGGTCAATAACATACTTCTGGAAACGTATCAATTTGTTCTCCAAACTTTTCTGAATACTTTAGAAGCTTTTTTTCGTATAACTAGCTTATTCCGAGTCACAAATCCACTACAATAACTCAAAGTTTTTTTTAAAGTTTTCAATTTCATTTGCATTCTTTCGTTTTGCCCACTTCATTCAAATTCATTCACTTCATCCAATTCATTGCCCACTTCTTCAGGTAGGTCACAGGTGACGGAGGACGGGGGCGCCTGGTGTCTAACATAGGTAAGCAGGCATCTGTCCCGCGTCCTCCCTTATTTAGAAGCAACTACTCCCCGGAGCCACAGAAAGCTCCACCGAGAGTTTATTGTAATTTAAATCATAGAGGTTACAGTGTCATACTGGAGCGGTTTTAGCTTTACATAGGTGATGGAATAACATAATGCTGTGATTGTACATAAATGCATATAAATATAATAGAAGAATAACAGAGAGAGAGAGGGAATAAC